GCCCTGCCTGCCCTCTCAGCTTGCACTGTGAGCCTCCCCTCACAAAGCCCCAGCTGGTCACATTGTGGGGTGGGGAAGGGATATTGGCTTCGCTGAGCTGAGTTAACTTTTAAATTGCAGAGGCGGATGTTTGTGTGAAGTGGTCATTGCCCCCGAGGAGCCAGGCCAGGTGCCTGAAAGGAGCTGGAGGAAAGCTGTGCAGGCTGCCTGCCCTCTCAGCTTGCACTGTGAGCCTCCCCTCACAAAGCCCCAGCTGGTCACATTGTGGGGTGGGGAAGGGATATTGGCTTCGCTGAGCTGAGTTAACTTTTAAATTGCAGAGGCGGATGTTTGTGTGAAGTGGTCATTGCCCCCGAGGAGCCAGGCCAGGTGCCTGAAAGGAGCTGGAGGAAAGCTGTGCAGGCTCCTTCACAGCCCTCAGCACCCACATGGTGCATTCCCCCCCATCCTCTAGGATTTAGCAGACTGCACCAGACCCCTCCTCACCAGATGCAGCCGGTCCCCCTCCAGCCAGTGCCTCCAGCCTCTGTTCCTCTTCTCTCCTAGCTGCTCACACACCAGCTGATCACCTTCCCAGGAGACAGTTGTCTGAAAAAAGGAGAAGGGGAGACATAGTCCCAGGAAAAGAAGGTCCTGGCAGTACTGATTTCCAGGGCTGACATTCACTGTTCCCCTCAGACACATTTTAAAAAGCAGTCCCTGATCTGGCATTTCTTTTGTGGCTCCTTGGGACTGATGCTCTTTGTGGGAGGTGAATGACCCCATGGCTCTGCAGCTGAATACTGGCAAATGGGCCGAGTTTTTGGCTTTACAGCTACAGAGGACAGTATCTTCTGTGTCCCCAAAGTGCTGGTTTTCTAGCCCTCTGGTATACATCCTTCTGCTGTGGGATATTTACTCATAGAATCACTTACTCCTGGACCTCCAGAATAAGGCTTGAGGCTCTGAGCTGGGATCTCTACTGGTTCATGCACCAAAAGCTGGGCAAGTCCCTAAATTTCTAATCCACCCCAGTCCACTGTCATACTGTCCTGCTTGGGCTTCTCACCTGGCACTTGCGTCCATCTACTGGTCCCAGGTCCTCCTCGAACTGGACTCCCAGGTCAAAATCCATAACATAGTCTCGCAGGGAGGTGATCGTGCGGATGATCATATGATCTCCTGTATGGATGATCTCTTTATCAGGCTTCAGGAGGCAAACCAGTTTCCGCAGGACCACGTTGATATCTGGGGGATGAGACAGGAAGGGCAAGGCCTGTAGGGTACGTATGCGCCTCCCCCAGCTGCACACCCTTGCAGAGCTCCTCCACTCCTTCAGCTGGGGAGCCCCGGCCACCATACCTCCACCCTCCCCCTGCCACACCTTGGAGAGTATCACAGGGCTAGAAGTGAGAGGATCAGAGGGTCCCCAAATCTTTTCCTCCCCTTGCCTTGTTCTTCAGGCTGGCGTGTTTGGAGACAGGAAGGAGGAAAAGAGGAAGAAGGAGCTGGAGGAGGAGGGCAGAGTTACCTAAAGCCCGCAGGTAATTGTCCATATTCTCCTGGGAGACGAAGCGGTAATAGCCAGTGAGGTTGGGAGGCATCCCGGGGCAGAGGGCCTGGCCTGGCAGAGAGGACGAGAGCGGGGGAGCGCTGCCCGGTAAGGACGGGACAGGCAGGGGGTGGGAGGAGCT